TTTTTCGCCGTCCCGTCGCGACCGAGGTTGCTACATAGAGCTATCCCTATTTCCCTATACCTTATAAAAAAGACCAGCACTACTTAATTTATGGGAGAAACTATGGCCAAAAACTTATTTAAATCCTGTTTGCTTTGGGTGATGATCATACAATTCCTCAAAATTAAGAACGGGTTGAATGTTTAGAGAACAAAAATACGTGGTGCACTTTAATATCGTGTTTGGTTTCTTAGATTCAGGAAAGGAGGAAGGTAATTAAACAGAGAAAATAAGTTTTTACCATATACTTTCATTCAAATTTGGTTTGTTGACAAAAGGAAGACAGACTATACTCTAGGACCCACATCAAAATATATTTCGTCCACTTTTGGGTGAAACTTTTAAAGAAAATATCATATATTTTTATAAAGTCGATTTTTATTTTATTTTAAAGAATATTTATATTATATACATTTTCTTACATTATATATTAAAAAAAATCCTTTTTATATATTAACTTTTTTTTCTTTTGTTTATTTTTATAAAATAATTTTAAAACTTATCTACCTTTTTATATTTCTTTGCTTGCATGAACCAAATATACCTATCCAAATCATTTATCTCAAATGATTTTATTCTTATTCCGGTTTAATAGTAAAGAATAACAATCTTCATCAGCAACAGCATTTCAGTTAAAAATAAGGTGTGTTTTTTACTTTACATGTTTAAAAGTTTGAGTGAGCTAGCTTATTAGGGCTAAACAAATCTTAAGGTTAAAAAAAAATTCAAATAAACGACCTCACGTGTTTTTAGAATACGAATTTACTTCAAAAACACTATAAATTAAACAATAAGTTGTGCGTTTTGTTTCTTAATTATTTTATATATGTTAAAAAAACGCTGTTTGGTGCTAGTTTATGAACAAAAAAAAAAAAGTATGCTTGCTTAAGCTAAGTGTATTCAGCACACAAGTTGCAGAAAAGTATTAACAAATAACAAGAACAAGAGCCTGACAAAATGAACGTGACACTATTTTTGGTTGTAGTCTATAATTTCGAAATAAATTCATTTTTTCAGCCTTCTATTGTCTGTGTATTCACTGCCCCTTTCCATTTGCAGAATTCAGTGCACCATCGTTTTGCAGCCTTTAGCCTGACCTGAACAGTGCTAATTAATGTTTCGATAGTATGCTCTGAATGAAAGAAGTTGGATAAATGGATAGAAAAAAAAAATACTAAGAAAGAAGAATTCAGTGTTTTGTGAACTGTCAACACCAGAACAAAGGTTTAAATAATAAGTTGTGCGTTTTGTTTCTTAATTATTTTATATATGTTAAAAAAACGCTGTTTGGTGCTAGTTTATGAACAAAAAAAAAAAAGTATGCTTGCTTAAGCTAAGTGTATTCAGCACACAAGTTGCAGAAAAGTATTAACAAATAACAAGAACAAGAGCCTGACAAAATGAACGTGACACTATTTTTGGTTGTAGTCTATAATTTCGAAATAAATTCATTTTTTCAGCCTTCTATTGTCTGTGTATTCACTGCCCCTTTCCATTTGCAGAATTCAGTGCACCATCGTTTTGCAGCCTTTAGCCTGACCTGAACAGTGCTAATTAATGTTTCGATAGTATGCTCTGAATGAAAGAAGTTGGATAAATGGATAGAAAAAAAAAATACTAAGAAAGAAGAATTCAGTGTTTTGTGAACTGTCAACACCAGAACAAAGGTTTAAATAAAAATTCCGACCTGCCGGATTCGAACCAGCGACCTAAGGATATCAGCATGGAAACCAACTACAGTCCTCCGCTCTACCAACTGAGCTAAGGTCGGCTGTTTGCAAGTCAAAGTTAATTTTTAAATAGATTTTAAAGGTTTAATTTAACACTAAGGAGTAAGGAGGAGCTAGCGTACCTAATAGTGCAAAAATACATGATTTATATTAATAAAATATTTGTATAACATTAAAAATCATTACAAAAGGATGATAAGTATGTATTCATACATATTATTATATTATAAAAGTTTGAATATTTTATATTTTAAAATTTATATATAAACACATTTGTTGTAATGTTATACATTTTATTAATTATGGTCAAGCATATTGAAATATATATTGTTGTGTTGATTTGTTGCTTATTTGTTGAGAAATTCTAAAAATTTTAAATTTTTTTTAGGAGTTTTAGTCATTTAAAAGTTTTAGAGGTCAAATTTGATTTGCAGGAAAAGGTATATGAGGATTTATTTTAAGACTTAAGCTTCATAAAATCATTCTTAAGAAAACTTAGAGAAATAGTTTAGAGAGGAGCTCTAGGACCTAAGGAGGATCGTTTCTCTCTCGACTTATCGAAATCTCTTCTTTCCTTCACCTTAGAATAAATTGAATGGTGATTGAAGCTCCTTAGCTTAGAATTGGAGTTGTGGTTTTGTTGAGTGATGTTTTCAGTGATAACTCAAAGTTTGTTTCTTTTTTCTTCCTCTCTTCTCTTTGATTTGGAGGTAAAGGAAACTAGAATCATAGTTCTTAATGAATTGTTTGAGTTGTATGTTAGTTGATTTCCATAAAATTATGGCTATATTTGGTGATTTTAAGATTTGAATGTTGAAGTTGGGGTTTTTGTTGTTATGAAGTATGTTGAGATGAATTTGATGATTTATACTTCAAATTTTGGTTGCATGTTGTTATTCTAGTTTGAAATGATTTTGTGTAAGGTGTATGAATGTGTTGTGTTACATTGCATGATGGTTTTGTTGAGTTTCAGGAATAGATTGAGTGAATTTGTGAATCTACCAGGTGCATAATTCATCATCGCAGTGGGAGCAATTTCAAGGTGTCGAGCATGACATAGACAAAAGGCTCTCTATCTCACTTATGTTAGGTGTAGGATCGATAGTATCAGGCATGAGTTTGAGGAGAGCTTTTTGATTTGGTCACACTGGGCATGGGTTGAATGGCATCAAGTTTAGATGCCCTTGGAACTCTCTGACTTAGTGACGTTAGGTCCTATTTGAGTGGTGTCAAGTGTGATCAAGACAACTATCTAGATGAAGCTAAACGCCAATTCAATGATGTTGAACATGGGATTGGCCATACTAGGCATGATTGCCACATGGACTCTCTGTCTCATTCACATCGGACATAAGTAGATTGACATCAAGCGTAGGTGAGCCAAAAGCTTTATACCTCAATGACGTCGGGCGCGGGGAGAATGGCAGCGGGTGCGGGTTGGCTAATTAAAATGTGTTGTTTTGACTAACTGTTGAACATAGTATGAGTAAATAAGAATGCTTTTCGTGTTGTGTATTGTTGAATATGTTCTAAGACCTTAATTGATGCGATATGAGAGTCAGGTCAAGTCATATCGTCTATAAAGCGACTAGAATATAGATGTGATACTCTTCTACACTGAATAAATAAATAAAGAATTTAATAATTTAAAATTAACAAAATTATAAAATAATAATAAATTTTTAAACTTTGACACTTAGTAAAAGGGTTCATAATATTTTTTTTACAACTTTAATTATTAAACAAAGCAAAACATAGAAAATAGTGTATAAAGCAAAGTCAAGCACTACCATATATTTAAACAAATCTCCAATAAGGAAACAAAACTCTCAGCCATTACATGTGTACAACTCAAACTTGTAACAAGAATCCAATTATAGCTTCATTACCTTAAAGTTGAAAAGAAACGAGAAAGAGGAAAAAGAACGAGCTTCGAGCTTTGGGAAGTTCCGCACAACACCATGACCTTGATTCTCAACTATAAGCTTAATTTGAATTACACCCACAACGATCCTCTATGACTCTGAAAAAGTTGGGAAGAAGAAGAAGATGAAGAAAAAAAAACTTTTATAACTCGAGAACTTCTCTCACTATTAAAATTTTGCTTTACTAATATACCTACTCAAAAAGGTTGTTCGGTGTTAGAAGTTAGAAGTAAAATTTCTTATTATTAATTCTTATTATCAAATATCAGTTAATTATTAAATAAATAATAATATAATATGAGAATTTTGAATATGTCAATAACTTTTATTTAATAATTTATAAAATATCATATCCTATTTATAATATGATAAATAAAAAAATATAAGGAGTTGGAGGTGAAGTAACATAGACAGGGCGAAGAAAAGAACGTGGCTCGTCCTGGCTTCACAAATATCATGATGAGCAAAAGGATGGCCGTAGTGAAATTGACTGGAATGGAATCGTGGACAGTACACATGCACACACTTTGACAGCAACATATAACCAGACACGTAGTCCCACTCTTCTCTTGTGTGGTATTTGCAGTTGCGTCTACATTGGATGTGTCTGGCTTCTTGCAGAGCAAGAAATTCCTAATCCCGTGCGATCCAATTGTGTCCCAAGGACTCAAAGCTGCGTAGAAAAGTAAAGTAGTTTCAGTAATGATAATTGATAAAGATAAAAAAGCGTAAGAGAGGTAGTGTTTGGGAAAAGTACGATCTGATCCAAGATGGGGGCAATAGAGGTGGAAAGCGGAGGAATGGTTTGGGAGGACTGAAGGAGGGGAAGCCTTCCCTCGCGCGCGTAGGATTTGAGAGCGCTGTGGATAACCGCGGCAACAACCTCGTCCTCGTTAACCACGAAGCGAATGGGCCCGCCCTGGCCCTGGCCTTGCCGCTCTGGGCCTTCTTCTGCTTCATCAGCAACATGTTCAATCTAAAGCCCAACAAGGCAGGGGTCGAGGCCCAGCCAGCGGTAGCATGAAATTGAAGGTGAGAGAGAGTTGGTTTGTTACTTTGTTTTGTTGGAGAGAGGGGGAGAGCTAGGGTGCTTAAATACCTGTTTCTCACCATCACAATTCTGGATTCAAACCGTTCTTTTGTTTTTATAACGGATTGCAAAATCAAATTCACTTCAACTTTTCTCTTTTTTTTACTCCGTAGTTGTAACACCGTGACTATGATTTTATTAATTAATTCTATGATATATATATATATGATTGATTTTTAAATTATTGTAATGTTATTGTTTGAGTTTCGAGTGTTAGTGGACCTTGAGAATTAAGTTATTGTTACTCACATGATTTGTGGTTGCATGATTATAGTTGATTATGCATTGATCTATGGTGATGTATATTATTGATGTTTAAAGTTGTTTTATTTGTGAGTTGCATATGAAAGGAAGTTGTTTTATATTGTGAAGTTGTTTTATATTGTTAAGTTATAAGTTGATAGGTGCTTGAAGTTGATTAAGTTGTTGAATTGTATAGACATGTGATGATGAGATGCATGTCTTAGTTGAGATACATAAAAATTAGAAGAGGGTAAAATTGTTTTAAAAATTAAAATATCTCATTATGTGGATATAAGTTGTGGTATTTTGAGGGCTTAGAGTTGAAAACCCTTTAGAGAGTAAGTTGTCTCTTGAATGAACAACTAATTTTCTCCTCTAGGTTTATGTGGAAATATGAGAGCTAGATCGAGTCATACTAATTATAAAACGACCAATTGTTGATTCTTATGGGGCAAGGTCGAGTCATACATGTATAAAGTCACCAATTAGTAAAATATGAAGTTGAAAGATAAAATCCTTAATTGATTGTTGAAAAGGTGTAGTATTTAAATGGTAGTCAACAAGATAATTCCATATGAGACTTAAATATGCTAAGGTTGTAGTATGCTTACACGCAAGTTATTCTATCCTAACTATAGAACTTGACTTTCTTAATTTAAGTAATGAAACCTAATAAATCATTTTAAGTAGTTTACTAGGTACTCTAAGAGGCCTAACATTGTATCTATCTAATCTGGTTAGAATAGGTCAATCATAATGATTTGATAGGATCAAACTACTTTATTGCTCGCTTTTATTAAAAGAGATCTCCATAAGTTGATATATGTAGACACATTAGTTGCTTAAACTTGTTTATGTTTTGATTAAAGTTGTTTATGTTAAAAATGTTATTTATGTTGTAAGTTGTGTTTGAAGAGTGAAAGTTGTAGATGGAGTTGACAAGTTGATGTTGTGTTGTGAATTAACTTGATGTTGCATAAGTTGATTGTGTTGTATAAATTGTAAATTTATTTTGTTATTACTATGTTGATTCTTTCATAAGTTTATCCTTTTTTTTATTGTTGAATTACGAAAATATATATATATATATATATATATATATATATATATACCTTACATATGGACCTATTGGGCCTCGTATGGATATTGGGCCTCGTATGGATTAGAAGATCTAAGTATATACATACTTTGACAATTTGTGTACTTGTTATTAAATTGTGCTTATGTGGGAAGATCATAACAGTGATCTTGCACTCTGAAAATTAGTTGATGATGTAGAGTGGCTGCCAACGCTGCCTCTTCTTGAGATGCTCCGACAATCTGTACTTGCACCTTGAATCTTCTTGGAAGAGTTGGATCTTTTAATTGGATATTAAAATTTGGAAATATTGTTAAAACAACACTTCCTGCATTTAATGTTGTTAAGACAGATTCGATGACAGCGTGCTCATAGTGATGAAAGGTCGAGTCTATAAGGGAGACTCTTGCAGTAACGGGAAGACCTTTTCTGCCATGTAAGGTTAAGACTAACCTTACTGCTCCAAAATGGAGAGCAACATATCCTTCTCTCTGTCAGAGCTTTATCAGGGATGGATTTATTTCTAAATCCACATATTATTCTGCAGAGGTTGCCTTCAAAGCACACTGGTCCATTTTAGTAGTTTGAATAAACTCCTTCACTCCAAGTCGAGGAGTTGAAACCAGCTTTCGAACATTCCATGTGAAAAAACTTTTATGGCGTCTGAAAATATTGTAAGGGCTTAAAAATGGTGGTAAAGCACTTTCGATCTGAACATCCTCTTTTTAAGGTTATGCATTAAGTAGATTTATTCCAATTCATCAAAATCAAATATAGTTGAATTACTAATGCTATTTTTTTTTTTAAGACAACCGGAAGTTTGTGTAAAAAAAAAACTATATATCATAAATCAATTATTTACTTACAAAATCCATCTTTAAAAATTAAACGTTTGAAGTTTTGAAATAATAAAGAAAAAAGTACATGCAAAAGGTGTTTGAAATTTTTGTTTGAACGTTAAAGACAAGGAGATAGGAAGGGGCGTGACACCCTTTTTTATTCTTTCATAACTATGATTTTTATTTATTTATTTAATTTTATTTAATTTTTATTTAATTTTTATTACTTATTTTTAAAAAATATTACAAGATATTCCTTTTTTATTTTATAAATTAAACAAACTCTAATACCGAAATAATTAAGCATAATGAAAAGTTAAATTTATTAATTTACACATATTCACATGGTTACAAGTAATATATATCATATATATTATAAAGATGATTTACATGATTTATAGGCAGAAAAGTAAAGGAGATAGTTACAATACTCTTCAGAACTATTAGCGTTATCACGTCTAGAAGTGTTATAATTAATAAAAGATCATTATCCTCTAAAAGTAACGATATTATTTTGTGTGTCAACAATTCATTATAGCCCAAGAAATATTGCACAACACACTAAATAAGCCAACATTAGATGATGTCATCTTTTTAATCAATTTTTATTTACATATATATATAGCTTGTGATATTATTTTAAAAGAAATCTAAATAAATTTGACAGTATTTTATATAATTATAAGCAAAATTTTGACTCAAATATTTGCAACAAGAATTGATATATTAAAATAAATTAAAGAATACATAAACAATACATAAGATATTTTAAGAATTAAAAATAACTAAATAATAAATTAACATTAACTAAGTAACATAAAATAAACAAATAAAATAGAGTTAGGAATACCCTATTAAATAATTATAGTTATATTTATTTTTTAAAAATCATGATAAATATTTTCTCCTCTACCTTAATAATTTGTGAGAGAATAGAAATAGGAATTAAGAATATCTTAGAATCCTTGAAGACAACTTTAATGTTGAAATGTTCAAAATTTATTATTTTTTTCACTCACAAGAAGTAGCTCTAAATTTTTCTAATTAGATTCTATTACATTCGAAGACCTTATAGATGAATTACTTTATAGTTTGTCTTTAATTTCTAATTATTCTCATTCTATTCATTTATAACTTTTATTTTCTTTGTAACAAGATTCTTTTCTTTCTACCCTATCTGATTAAAATGTACTTTTTATTCCAAATCTTCATGTTTCTATTCCTTTAATGAGACCCCTGATTTATCTTCTCCCTATTTATATAATAAATTTAATTGTCTCATTCTCCTTAATTACTTTCATATGCAATATATATAATTCTTTTAAATTTATGAATTTATATAATAAAA